TTTAAACGGTCAATTTACCCGTTTATAACTTGCAACGATTTCATAAACTCAAGCCTATTATGGACATTTATGACAACATATAATTATCACATATGGTTCCAAACGGAATTATATGACCTTGAGATGTATCCCTAAGTTTATCAGGACTTTTCTTTACCGGATCTCGAAACCTCCAAAATTGCTTAAAAAACGTGGATAATAGACTTTTAAATTTGGAAATTTTTGACTTTTTTTGGCTCGAAAATAAAAATTGCCGAGATGCTTACCATAGTCCCTAATATCCTCCGAGAGTCCAATTGGGTGGGTGGAACTATCCAATTTGCCATTAAACGGTCAATTTACCCGTTTGTAACTTGCAACGATTTCATAAACTCAAGCCTACCACGGATATTTATGACAACATATAATTGTCACATATGGTTCCAAATGGCATTATAATATGACCCTGAGATTTATCCCTTAATATATCAAGACTTTTCTTTACCGGGTTTCGAAACCTCCAAATTGCTTAAAAAGCGTGGATAATAGACTTCAATTTTGGAATTTTTTACTTTTTTGGCTCGGAAATAAAAGTTGTCGAGATGTTTACCATAGTCCCTAATATCCTCCGAGAGTCCAATTGGGTGGGTGGAACCATCCAATTTGTTTTTAAACGGTCACTTTACCTGTTTATAACTTGCAACGACTTCATAAACTCAAGCCTACCACAGACATTTATGACAACATATAATGGTCACATATGGTTCCAAACGACATTATATGACCCTGAGATGTATCCCTTGGTATCTCAAGACTTTTCGACGTCGAGTGTAAAAACTTTCAAAATTTCTCAAAAAACGTGAATAATAACCTTCAATTTTGAATTTTTTTGACTTTCTTAGCTCGAAATTAAAAATTTCCGAGATTTTTACCATGGGCTTTAATACCTTATGGGAGTCCAATTGGGTGGATGCGATGAAACCATAAAATTTGCCTTTAAACGGTCAATTTACCCGTTTACAACATGCAACGATTTCATCAACTCAAGTCTTCCATAGACATTTATGACATCATCTAATGGTCACATATGGTTCCAAATGACATTATCTGACCCTGAGATGTATCCTTTAGTATTTCAAGACTTTTCGACACCGGGTCCCGAAACTTCCAAAATTGCTCAAAAAACGTGAATAAATAGCCTTCAATTTCGAAAATTTTGGACTTTTTTTGCTCGAAAATTAAAATTGTCGAGATGTTTACAATATACCCTAATATCCTCCGAGAGTCTAATTGGGTGAGTGGAACCATGTATTTGTCTTTAAACGGTCAATTTACTTGTTTACAACTTGCACCGATTTAATAAACTCAAGTCTACCACGAATATTTATATAATGATCATATATAATTCCAAATGACATTATATGACACTGGGATATATCCCCTACTATCTTAATACTTTTCAACACTGGGTCTCGAAACATCCAAAATTGCTCAAAAAGTGAAGATAATAACTTTCAATTTTGGAAATTTTTGTTTTTTTTTTTTGCCCGAATATATAATTTGTCGAGATGTTTACCATGCATGGTCCCTAATACTCTCTAGGAGTCCAATTGGGTGGGTGGAACCATCCAATTTGCTTTTAAGCAGCGAATTTACCCGTTTTCGTACACGCCTTTACGTAACCGAATAATAATGGTCATATAGGGTCGAAAACTTGAAACAATGTTATATGATCTCAAGATGCATCCCGTAGTGTTTCGTGAATTTCTGACACCGGGTCTCGACACCTCTTAAAATGCTCCAATTTCATGCATTATAGACTTCATATTTTGCTTCCGTATACCATTTTTTTTACCCGGCGAGATTATGCATCCAAGTATTTTCATGGGTTCCCCATGGGCCTTGAAAGTCATAAATAGTGCCCTGAACCATCTCACTCATCCTTAAACATCATGTGTTAAGGCAAAGTCAGCGAATATAAATGAGAAAAACATAAATTATTCTCAAAGCTAAATCCACAAAGTGTAAAGTTCATTTAATTTTTAAACATTTTTTCTTACTTTCTAAAAAATTACAAGTATGTCACATTTACATTAAATCTTAAAATATGGTGAGGGAATATTGTAACTACTAGTAATGCAACTTTTATTGCTTATTTTGGCTTTTATTTTAGAGAAATTCTCTTTGAAAACGCTATACGAAATTCTCTTTGGAAACGCTATGATTATTGGTAAATTAGAATTTTTGATTACCAATGATAATAGCTATATTAATATAAACTCACTAACCATGGTTAATTTATTTTATTGTTAAATAATTAAATTACTTAATAGAAAAAACCTCAACCTCTCAACCTAAAATTAAACCCCAAACGCCCAAACCACCAACCACGACCTCCATTGCCGGATCCCAACCACTGTTCCCAGCCACCCAAACTTTCCCCTTGCCAGCAACCAACCAATCTAACCCCGACGCCTTTCCTCTATACCTTTTATGTCCTTCGACATCAACGACACCAACTCATTACTCAGTTTCTCATTTGCCCTAATTAATCACATTATATCTCTCCTTAATCACCTCATCTCTTTGAATCACACTATCATCTCGCTTTTTAATCGCCTCATGAGCGAGTAGTTTAAGCAGATTAAATTGAACTTCAAGTTTCGGTTTCGAGTTTTTGGCAGCGATTCTTGCTTGCTTTTCATGGTCAATTCAGGTTGTAATTCATTGAATTACTCAATGGAAATTTTCAATTCCGATGAATTTATTTCCAAGCCAAAAAAAAGTCAAATATTTAGCTTAATATATAAAGTTCAAGTTACCAACAATAATAAGATTTTTCGTAATTCCCCACTGAGAAATTTAAAAAGTACATTGTTACCAAAGAAATTTTGTCGCTTATGTAAATCCATTTAAATATGTCCATTGTTGTATCTTAATATTGTAACACTTATCTTTCTATCACCTAATATCAAAACTCTATTTCACCATTTTATATTCAAATTTTTTAATGCATACTATTAATTATCAACCAATAAAAATGAGTGACATTGTGCAAAAGGTTTTGGATTCTAAATTTGCATGAATTTACTAGTGAATCAATGATTATTGACCTTATGGCATATATCATGTTGATCTTAGGTTGTTTTAGTATTTTAATTCTGAAATGAAGAGAGGTTGGAAATTCAACTACTTCTTCAATAAATAAGAATCAGGTGAAGTCCTTTTTTCCTAGGTTTAAACTTTTCAAGACCCCATACTTTTACCCATAATAATGCAAAACCAAGTATGAATTGGAAGAGGATTAGAATTAGAACTTTCACTTCCTTCAAGAACTAAAGAGACCCATTTGCGCACCCAACGCTTGCTAGTTGCTATTGCATTATTGTGTGCACCTTTAGCATGATAACTTACCAATTAACATTAACAAACACTCGTAGGGTGTGCTCTATTCACCTGAAGTTATCTTATCTGAACTTATTAGAGCTTAAAACTCATTTTAGTTGTAATTTGTAATTGGTTAACCTAATCAAAACTCATTTTTCCTAAACTGAACTTATTTGAAATTAATTGAAACTAGTTTAAATCCCGTGCAATGCACGGTTTTTACTTAACCTAATTTTTAATTACAATATTAATTTAACAAAAACTTGAAATAGATACTTGAATTTCTTTTAAAAAAACAAATAATAATAATAATAATAAAGGGAAAACAAAACTTGAGTTTAATATTATATTGATGTCAAAAGTTATTGATCATTAAACATTTGTTTTTTTTAAAAAAATAATATAAGAATTAAATTTTATGTTATTAATTTTAACCCGTGCAATGTACTTTTTTTTAGAGAAACATGTGCAATGTACATACCTCAACGTCCTAATTTTGTTGGCATGTTTTGACCGGCACAATGTTTTATAGCTTACTTTGACCAATATAATGTTTTATACAAATTTAATTGACTTTTTTTTTTGTGATAATTAATAATCAAGGTTTTTTATTTTTATTTATTAAATTGTAGTGTTATTATTATAAATAAATCAACAAATATATACTTCGTAATAAAAGTTAAAGAGTCAATCGAGGTTGGAGCAAAAAAAAAAAAACTTCCAAAAAAAAAACGATACAAAATGATACGGAGTAGTACATTATTATTGTAATATATTACTTCGTATATGTTTGTTTATTTTAGAAAAAAATACTTATTATAAAATAATGAAAGATAGGTTAAAATATTATTATCATTGAATGCATATAGAATATACTTTGTATATAATATAGTTGCCAAATTGAAGGTTAAATATTCTAATATATATAAATTAATATTCACGAATATTTGTAAAAAATAAGAAAGGAAAGTAAAAAATGGCGGGAAAAATTTTAATCAGAACATGACAAGTGTCATGTCAGATTTCACTTTTCATATTATCTTATTGATTGATTGATTATTGATAATGAAAGATAGGTTAAAATATTATTATCATTGAATGCATATAGAATATACTTTGTACATAATATAGTTGCCAAATTGAAGGTTAAATATTCTAATATATATAAATTAATATTCATGAAGATTTGTAAAAAAAAAAAAAAAAAAAAAAAAAAAAAAAAGGAAAGTAAAAACTGGCGGGAAAAATTTTAATCAAAACATGACAAGTGTCATATCAGATTGACCTTTAGTATTATATTATTGATTATATAAAGTTATCTAAACTTATTAGACCTAAAATAACTGAAAATTAGGTGAACAAAACATGCTCGTAGTGTAATTACTTGTATATAGTGAAGGAGCCGTGCCACTTCCTCTCTCTTCCTTCTATTGCTTGCTAAGGTTTATGTATCAAGTATTAACCATAACATGCTGCAATAATTGTGACTTGATGTGGAAACATACAAGACTTTATTTCAAAAATATCTATGTAGGCACTAATTGCTAATTAATCTCTCTCTATATATTTTTTTGTACGGATTTGACAAGTCACAAAACTGACAGAGTACGTAATGATGAGTTAAATATTCAAACTTCAGACAACAACAAATAATGTAACATTACATTGCACAAGAGTGTAACAACATGACACAATTACACCCTATCGAGTGTCAACAACAATGCTTATTCAATGAAATAAAACGCGCACAAACACACAATATTGAAATTTGGCTAGTGGCCTCCCAAAATGCTAATTAATACAACTTGTACATATGATGTACTACAACATGAGCATTTATTTGGTACATGTATATGTGTTTCCACTAACCCTTACACATTAAAGTTATTATGCATCCTTGAGGACAATAACCTCATTACCAGAACCAGAAACCTCACATCTGCAACCATTACCACATTCAAAGAACACTTTTCCAGCATCAGGACCTTCTGTTTTGGTGAAACTACAAGCATACCCTTCTCCACATACACAGTATCCTCCTTCAGTCTCCACTTTCTTTGACTCATCCCTACAATTATAAAATACGAGCAATTAAGTTCAACTCATATAAATTTTTTTTAATCAAAGAAATTAATTAAATCTCATCAAAATTATGTTCACTAGAAGAAATTTGATTTTATATTTGTGTACGCGTGAATTCTCAAAGTTTTACGAGTTAGGGCTATTATATTACAAGAAGTATGTACTCTCTTCGTTCTTAATTGATTGTCCTATATACAATACTATGAGTAAATAAGAAGAGTGAAAACGTACGTGATGCAGACACATGTATCGCAGCAGTTGGTGAAAGGCTTGGCATCAGGTTGAGGGTCTTCAATTTTTCTTACAACACAAGTCCACCCAGGCCCGCACTTGCAGCATGCTTTGCTGTTAAAAAAAAAAAAAAACATTTAGAGTAATTTCCTTGATTATTAATCAAATAACAGGTATCAATACAAAATAACATAATCACTTGTGAATTGAAAAAAATTACTCCGTATAACAATAATATTACCAATTTGTAGCTTAGCTTACACTATATAGTATATACCCTAGTATAAATTAACATAATCCTTAAAAGTGGCCAAGCTAAGAGAAATATAAACAATTATACACTATAATTAAGTTAACTAATTATTGAACTCCAGAGAGATTTAGAATTAGCTAATTTAACTTCCCTTACTTTTTCTCAACTTTCACACTAATTACAATAATACAACTTATTTTTATTGATTTTTACTTATTAAAATTGACTTTTTTTACTACTGGTACATGTATAAACCTATCAATGTTAGATTCCTTCTATGAACCTATTGATGTTTACTGATTAAAAAAGATACGAGTATTCAATATGTTGATTATATATACCTAAGAGTATAGTTTTACTAATTAACATCATTGCATGTAGTAAAAATTGTTAAAGATATACTTGTATCAATTACTAAAGTATTTTATGGATTTATAAATATATAGTATGATCATTACCTGTTAGCTTCACCAGGTGGACAACAACTCTTTGATCCCTCCATGATAATTATTTATCACTTTTCTTTCTTATAACTTACTTCACTAATTAATCTCTCTTTAATTAGTTATTTTTGTTTGGGAAGAAGAGAATGGAGAAGACTCTCCTTTTATAGAAGAACGATCCCAAGCCATGATCTATTTGAATTATTTTTTTAATTTAATTTATACGAGTATATTATTATTGCATACGATACACAAGCAAGATAAATATTTTTATTCTCAGCCTTATTTTTTTCTTTTAGAGGTCCTTTCCCATGTCAATTAATCTCTAATTAAATTTATTCTTAGACTCGATTAACAATCATTCAATAAAACTATAAGCAAGAAACGACTTAGATTCACTTAATTATTTGTTAGAAAATACGTAATATGAAGTATTATTTGTCGTTGGGTTGTCTCTTGTCTACTATACTATACTATAAGTATTAATAAGTAGGTCAATTTACGTACATTATTGAACAATGCAAGATAAAGACATCCCAATTGATCCATAATATTTTTTTTTTCTTTCTCCATTATGATTAGTTTAATCCAATTATATATATCCCGTACTTACAAATGAATGAATTGAGTACATCTATTTTATCTTTCACCTTGTTTGGTAATTAGCCGGTGATTCTTGGTTGTTATGTTGATTGTTTCAAACTTTAGCTGATGTTGAATTGGATGTTTGACCATTTGGATCATATCACAACCTTTACCTCTTGTGCAATGATTTCCTCTAATACAGAAAATAATAGAGTAAAATAAAGTAATGACATATGTAACTCGATCTTCATGATTACATACATATAAGCGATTAGTATATTACTTAAATTGAATATTTTTAAAATCACATTACGTAACAATATCATGTGTTGATTTGATTGGTAAAATCAACATATGATCAATTTATTGTATTACCATTATGGCTCCTTATATGCAATCCTTGGGGAGTTGGGGTTATATTTATTATCATAGTCGTCCTAAAGATAAAATTTATAAAACTTAACTTAATTAAGTAAATTTCACCAAAAAAAAAAATTAATTAATTGAGTACTTTGTATATAATAGAACCCTCTACTTATCATATTATCGTTAAAGTTACTTTATAAATAAGCAATGTAAGAATAATTGAAGACTTAAAATTGAAGGGCAATGTAAGAATAATTGAAGACTTAAAATTGAAGGGCAAAGTTGAATAAGTAGGGCTTATTAAAATTATCCGAACTTGACCTAATATTATTCGATTCAAAACATAGGTACTCCAATTGATATTGATATCGAAATAAGTGTGGTTGATAGAGTTTTCACTCTAGCTGTTCGACTATTAGGTATTTAGGTGTGGCTATATATGGCCATATGGGTATCACCTATTAATTGTATTATGCTAAATCACAAATCTTATATGTGGCTGGCCACACCATGTGACATGGGTTATTTCGTAGTGTTATATGAGTTACTTAATTGATCAGTGTTAAAGGGGTTACCCGGTTATTGTTATAGGGGTTACGTTACTCAGTCAGTATTACAAAGATTATTTGGCCAGTGTTAAATGGATTACTTTGTTGTTTTATAAGTGACCTCACGATGTGGCTAGCCACATACAAGACGAGCTGATTCGTATTAACTATTAAATAACCAATCAGATAAAGATATTGGTTTAGGTGCTCGAGCCATGCTCAACCTTCTAAGGACCGAGTTGCAAAATTTTTTTAGTTTTTAACTTGCTTACTAATTCATGTGGCAAGCTGTCAACGATTCAAAGGAAAGATATATTCTATCAGAGCATAACGCAATCACTTACGTAATTGTAATGGTTTCTTTCTTTATATATTTAAGACAACAAACATAATAATGTAGTGATTTTAAGCTAGTCAGGTGAATCTCCATCAGAAATGGAAACGTGTTGCATAATTGGTGTTAACCGAAACGTTTCCCTCTTTTAAAGTGTTACAAAACGTATACTTTTTATTTCTCGTACTTACTTATTTGTGTTTGCCAAAATTTGGGGCCAGACAACTGGACAACCACTATTTTGTACATTAAGGTTTTTTATTATTTATTTATTTTTTATTTATTTATTTTTATTATTACATTTTTTTTATAGAGATATATATAATAGAAACTTTACCATTCGTTTTTTTTACTCAAAAATAAAATTTAGTAATGTTCTTTAAATAAATACGTTTCTCTTTTACAGGTAGTTGTATTTTTATTATAATGTTTTATCGAAAGAATAAGAAAACTAAATATTAGGGAGCTCATTTCATCACAAAGGGTCTTTCTAATTAATGCACCATAAGAGATAATTGTTAGTACGGTAACAAATTAGAGTTAATTATTATAGACTAGAAAATCTTCACTATTATAGATTAAAAGTTTTACATTGATAATTCAATTTGCTGTTCGATTTGTTGCTTGATAGATATGTTGAATGGGTCTAATAGTCAAAATACTTTCTCTAGTTTGTTCTTTCACTAGATCATATATAGTGTAAGATGTACCATCAGATCACTACCATAGGCCATAGCTATAGTTATGTTTCCTTAGTCCCCTGCCCTAATTCACAGTTCATTTGCGATTATTCTTTAATCTTTATTCAGCAATAGTTAGTAATCCCTATGTTACAATTATATCATGCGTAATTGATTTTTTTTTTTTAACACATATTTTTAATAATGATGTTAACATTTATTATCTTTGTAGTATCAAATGAATTTCCAACGTCCAAACCCTGCCCTCTTTCAACAACTTGCCTCATGGAAGTTGGACGTTATTACACTAATAAAGATAAAGATAAAGATAAAGATATAATCCATGATTTTCTATATACACAATTGCGCAATATTGGTAGAGAATTTCCAATTGAGAATAATATATAGTACTAAGTACATGTACAGTTTTCAGAAACTTGTGTCCTATTGGTTCACGTGAAATGAAAGCCGTTTTTCTTTGTATCAAAAACCGAAACGTTTCTCTAAATTAAAGCATACCCATCCACAAATTGATCCAAGTGATTCCGGCCACTTCTGTAATATAGTATAAAGGCCAATTTAAGCCTCAATTTGTCAATTTATAAACGTATACTTCACTTAAATCTTGGCACATACTAATGTAAGAAACGTTTTTTTATTTACGTTTCTATTTTACTAGAGATCGAAACTTGTACTCCATGTAGAAATTAAAGGAGTTTCATATGATAAGCGAAATATTGGTTACTACGTAGATTTAATACGTATAGCTGTAAGCCTGTAATTCACATATTTAAGGTGTTAGATGCAATGTTATTCTGATAGTGTATTCCGTATATCTTAATATTGTTACTCCGTATTTGAAATGATATACTTACGAAGTGATTTAATACTGTGAAAGAAAACAAGAATTATGGGTCATACACATATGAGCTCAGCCTAATAGAGTTTTATCTTACTTAATACGAAGTATATACTACACATGCCTACAATAAAACATTAAGAGTTTAGCCATATAAAATCTTAAACTAAATGCTGCTGCCTGCTGCAGGGCTGTAGCATTGATTTTGGGGGCCCTGTTCTAAATCGAAAAAGGGGCCCTTAGTAATGTAAAAATTATACTATGAAACGAAGTACTTTTTATCTATAATTTAGATTATGCACAATTTTCCTATATATACATTACAAAATGAAAATGCTTTTATATAACAATGATATATTCAATTATGCAAAATTAATTCAAATATTTTATTCATGTTAATATATCAACTAAATATAACATCATAATTATAATAATAATGTCACATATACAATTATAGGTCCCTAGAAAACTAGAAACAACCAATTAAGATTCTAATCTTTAACATACAAGTTGCAAAATTAAAAATTAAAAATAAAAAATTCATCCAACTGTGAAATAATAGTAATGATTAAGATACTGCATAATTGCATTCATACAATTTATACATGCCCATAGAAAAATTAGAAGCCAGGAGTCTAGGACCGTATTAAAAAAAACCAATTAAAATTGCTTCAATTGATATTATCAAACCAAAAACATTAAAAAAAATTAAAATATAATAAACATCAAAATTTTACCTTTAACCAATAGACAAAGTAGGAATCAATGAAATCAGTCATTCAAAAAGCTATCAAAACAATACCCCCAAGTGAAGTTCCAATTGGTTTTTGTTTTTGTTTGATTGTGTATCAATTGAGAATTAGATGAAATAATCATGGAAAATCAAATATAATTAATTGTTCATTGCCAATGTGATAGAAGAAAAAACATTTGAATTTGACTGAGTATATGTAATTTTCCATTAAAAATCCTTGAATGGAGAAATTATTTTCCATGGAATTGAATTGATTTAATTAAGATACTACGATACTAATTTAAATTGATGAAGGAATTTGGAAAGTTGTAGAAATTAATATGAAGCTTGAATAAAGGGATGAAAATGTTTTTGATGAAAATAATAGCGTGATTTGCTACATTGAAACTTGACGGCGTTATAAACAAGAAGACTAACAAATATTCCGTATACAATCAATAGTTAAAAATAAAAAATAAAAAATAAAAAAAAAGGATTAAAAAAAATGGGCCCTCTTAAAATTAGAGGTCCTGTGCAAGAGGACACCTTGCACACCCTCTTCTACGGCCCTGGCCTGCTGGTGATAAATAAAGTATTCCACCAATCTTATACATTAGCAGTTCAAATGTGGATTTTTCTTTTTCTTTACACTCCAAATTAATTGAGAGTAACCTTTATCTTGCAATCTAAACAGGTCACAAAACTTTTCAGGGCCATTTTGGATAGATTTCCTAACCCCTGCCTCATGCAATTACGTACAATATAATGTTAGACATAATGTTAATATCTTACACATATATCTTTGAGTGGTTACTTGTTTCAAACACTACATGCATTTACGTGACACATGCATCCCCCCTTAAATAATCATAATCACATACAAAGTTATAGAGTGCAATCAAGACAATTCTAAGATTACTACATGCATGCTGTGAGTAGTGAGCTACGGAGTAGTTTTTTAGTACCTAGACACGTTAGATGCAAGACACTTTTTTTTTTCACTCCCAAAAGATTAGCTTCAAAAACTTTACATATATCTTAGTATTTAAA